TCTTTCCCTGCATGTTCTGTACCAAAAGGGCCAAGCTTCTGTACACTATGTGGGTCATTAGATTCATGGGTGACTGGTGAATTCACTGATTCATGGTAGTTTGGTGCAGTGGCTAATGACATTCCCTGTTGTTCATGCACTTCACGCTGGAGGTCTTTTCTCCCCACAGGTGGCCAAAAGTGGGATGGTAAGTTTTTGTTGTGAGGTAGGGCCTTTGACAAGACTGTGTTTTGTGCCTTTTTCTTCCTCCAGAGTGTGGTGGGCTCTTAAAGGCTGAAGTACGAACTAAGGAGCTGTATTCCCATGCTCAGTTTGGGGACAACAACTACCCAGGTCAAGCCAACTGTGAATGGGTGATTGTAGCTGAAGATGGTTATGGGGTGGAGTTGATATTCCAGACATTTGAGATCGAGGAGGAGGCTGACTGTGGGTATGACTACATGGAGATTTATGATGGCTATGACAGCACTGCACCACGCCTGGGACGGTTCTGTGGCTCAGGGGTAAGCTATGGTGGTGGGGATTTCATAGGCATAACTGGAGGTGGAAAGGAAGGGTACTCTTCTACCCTTTTTGGCCAGGGGCAGCTCTCTCAAACTGGTGATGAGAATGCCTTGTGTGTCTGGGTTTTGCTGCTTCTCCTGTTGCTAGAGATCACAGCCATTTTGTCTGATGCAGAGTTGGTCTGAAAACCTTGCTGACCAACTTTCCCTTGTTAGCCCAGGGCCGTGTGCAGCAGCACGGGACTGCTGGCACTGTTGTGCCCCAGTGCTGCCACAAAAGCATTGTGTAAATGTGGGAAACAGCTTCCAAAGGCCAGTTTCATTCTCAGTCACTTCCTGCCTGAAGCCAAGTCACGTTGTGGCCATGCTATGGCAAGGGTGGAGGGATTTGCAGAGCTGATTGTTGAGTCCAGGGTGGTGTGCTGTCTCTTAAACTGTTATCTGTGTCCGCGTTAAGAGAAATGACTCTGTTAGCATGAGCAATACTGTGTGGTATTTAAAACCAGAGGTTCTATGTTTAATTTCTCTAGGACTTTGGCAATGAAATGGAGAAGGTTCTTACTGCATTTAAAGAGGGACATCCAGGGAGCAGGTGTGTTGGAGCAGTCCTTGAAAATTGGGGAAATGGTCTTGAAAATAAACAAAGGCATAGCAACTTGGTGCAAAGAAGTTCAGGGCAGCAGGGTAGTAATCTACCTACCTCTACATTGACAAATAGAGAATGGCTGGAAAAGCACTGGTCCTGCAGAGAAGCACATGGAGGTCGCAGCAGGTCACAACAGTGGGGGAGATACCCAGAGTTATCGTGTAAAATACATGGCTAAGTTATTTTGCTGCTAGTAAAACCTGGGAGAGCCTCAGCTGCCCGACACGGTCCAGTTTGGATTGTGTCATTTCCTGAAAAGATTAGGACAAATCAAAGAAAATTCAGAAGATTGGAACAAGAACATCCAGGGAGTCCTGTGAATGTGACCTACAAAAAACAACTGGAAGAACGGGGATTGTAGTGGGCTGGCATCAGTCTTCAAACATAAAAGGCAAGCATGTAAATAGGGAATGTGTTCAGGAAGCCAGAGCAGAGCAGGAGGTACTGAGCGCTCAATGTTTGTGTTTCCTGGCCAGTCTGTCTTCACTGTGAGCTTAAATTCTAACATCATAGCACAGATAGTAATTTAGCCCGCAGACATGACCACTCTGTGCTGTCTTTACTTTTCTGCAGCCTCTGGAAGAAATCTACTCTGCAGGGGATTCCATCATGATTCGATTCCATACAGATGACACCATCAACAAGAAAGGCTTTCACGCCCGATACATAAGTACCAAATTTCAGGATGCATTGCACATGAGAAAGTAGTTTGACTGCCCCCCACGGACATTCCCATCTGAAGATTGAGACATTTAACTGTGATCTTTGTCTTTTTTTTAAGGCTTCTGTGCACCTGGCCAAAAGCAATGTACAGTATTTTCTGTAACTAAAACTAAATCTAGTCTTGAAGGTTTGCCCCTGAAATTATTAGGATGACACTTTCTTGTTAACATACCCAGGACCAAAAATTGTCTTCTAATCATACCTGCCAGGGCATAAACATTGTATTTTGCACAGCTTGCCATGGGGCTGAGTGAAGACTGAGCTTGAATTGAGAAGAGCCTTCATCTTGTGCATATCCTGTTTCTAGGTGATATTTCCTAAACATCCTGTACACATGAGCTGTCTGAACACATTTTTTTTGAGCAGACGATGTGGACAGTCACCTAGTAGGATTTTCTCACAGGACCTTGGGAGCCACCCGCTCTCCCCTACCAGCCCAAAATATTCTGTGCAATAAGTGAACAACCAGATGACTGAAACTCCATCACTCCTTCTGTCCCGTCTATTTATTGTCTTGGTTATTGTGGGTCGAGAGCTAGGCAGGGGCACAGGGACACTCTCTTTAGGGCTGCTAGCTACTTGGATCATGGTGAATGAGAATGGCCCAGTGCCTGATGCTGAATGAAAGTACTTCAATGCAGTAGCCAAGGGAAAGGTGGTGGCTGACAGGGAAGTGCTATGGTGGAATGCAAGGCATGACTGTGTGATGATGGCAAAGTTTAGCAACTAGACTGCTGACAGAGTGCTCCAGTTACACCATCAGACAAGGCAGGTCAGAAGGCTGTGACAGCAGTCCAGGCCTTATCTTAAATAAGGAGTCTTTCCTGCTCAATCCACCCATGTTTGCTTTCTCAGCCTTCTTTATGCTGCTTCCTTTCCTTAGTACCACTTCCCTGTGAGCTCTTCCTTTCACAGCTGAGCTGCTCTCCCCAGGGCTCCCCACTGCAACCTAGGAGTGCTCTGCAACATCAGCTGGCTGGAGCATCTTACCGAAGGAAACGCTGGACCAGAGATAGCCAGGGTGTCCCTGGGGCAGAGGGACACAGGCCATGCTACAGGCCAGGTCTAGTGAGCTCTGGGAACCTGTCAAAGATGTGCAAGCTCGAGGCATGGGACTAGTGAACGGGAGAGCTCTGCTGGTTTCTGCTTCCTCCCTTTTCCTTGCTGGCCCATGGCCCAGTCTCTTAATTCATGGCAGGGGTGCAAGTGAGTTGATGACTTAAGCACTTTGAGCTATAAGGCCCAGACATGCTCTGTGTTGCAGCTATTTATGTACATGGAAGCTACCGAGCCATGGGCTTGCAGAATTAACAGGTAGCTTGGGACTTCCTTGGGAAAAAGTAGGGAAAACTTTGCTTTTTGGGAAACCACTGTGATTGAGCTCTTGATATGGGAAGAAAAAAAAAGAAAAAAAAGACTTTATTCCGAATGATGTTTCATTAAGGCACTCATGAGCTAAAAGCTGAGGTATGTTAGCTTTAATAAAGTATTTATAATCCAAGGATTACTATGTTTACATAACCAATGTACTGTCAGGCTCTGGGGTGACACCTCCTCTCTGGTGTATGACTGTGGAGAAATGTGGGGCCAGCACCACTGTCAGGCACAAACAACATTCCTGGAGATGAGGGCATTTCCAGATGGATAATAGATAGACCCAGCCCTCTCCAGAAGTCCTTGAACAGAATATGGTCCAAGTATTGTGAATACTAGGAGAAGCAATGCATGAAAATATTTTTTTGCTTAGAACAAGAAAAATAAAGTAATTTATACACACACACAAGATTATATGTATATATAATGCGCATGTAGAAGACCAGTAGTCAAAGCCTTAATAAGTGTCATGTGAACAATACTGTACCACTGACTATAGCTTTATTGCAGGCTGTATAAAACCATGTTATTTCTGTTTAGACTTTATAGCTCTGTTTTGTTCCTTTTCAAATTTTGTGGCCTTTTTACAGGCAAGACCTCTGATCTCAAGCTGTTTGACCGTGCAGGTCTGGGGAAGTGAACTCTGCTATATGGGGTCTGCATTTGTCCTTCTCTTCCTTACCACCGTTCAAGCAAAATCACAGTGACTCAGGTCTGGAAATAAAAACCAAGACACCAGTCCCTGTGAAACAGAAGGAAGGTTTCAGGTGGCAAGCAGCGGTTATGGGAGGAATGACTCTGGAGACAAGTGGCTGCAGGAGCTGTCCGTGTACCTTAACATCTGTGGTCCATGTTCTGGTAATTTCCCATCTTCCCCAGACTGGTTCATTGCAGATGCTTGCAATGTGGTGTGACAGATCTACTACACTTCTTAGCATTCATGCAGGTGTCTCTTGTGACAGTATGCTCACAAATGTTGTACTGTGCATTTCAACCAATGATCTTTGTAGAATATTTCTGCTGTACTGACTGGGCTTAACAGTCAATAATTCTAAATATGTGAAAGTTTCTTAAGAAAAAAAAAGAAAAAAATGTCAGACCCTCTAAGGTGTGTATACTTATTCTGGTCTCTGTGTGCTTTTACATTTCACTAACTAAAATAATTTTTTAGAAGGCGGGCGAGAAGGGCGTGAGGGCAATCACAAATGTACCTGTGCCCAGAATGAGTCTCTGCATTCATTAAAGACTGTGGATTCAGTTGTACATTCTGTTGTATGCATGAATTTACCACTTCCTCAAGGGGAGGAAATTTCTTAATACATTCCTTGTTCTGCCAAATGTTGTTTGTGTCTGCTGCTAATACCAGGTGGGATTTACTCTCTGCAGGAAACAACTTTCCCTCAAGCCTTTAGCTTTGGCTTGGCTTTTGCAATCATGAGGACATTTAGGAAGTGGGGCAAGTTGGTCAGCCAAAGGGCTACATCATTGTGTTTCACGTTCTGCACTCATGCTTTAGTGGCTGAGATGCAGATCTGCAGCAATAAACATTAGGGATCTGGGAATTAGTCCTTAAGTAGACTTCAAAAGAGGAGGCTCACTTACTACACTACAGGGTATGGCCTTCAGCAGCAGGCCCTAAAGACCCTGGGACATGAAACTCCTGTGCAAAGGACAACAGGATGAGCATGAGGCAGATGTTCCTTACTGCAAAGTTGTGGCCTGCACTCTCACTGTGGCAGCAAAATGTTTAGTAACTAGGCAGCACCTAAAATGCTTTTGTTCCTCTTTCTGTCCACTGCTTGATGTCTATGCTGCTTGCTAAGGATCATGTCTGTGTTCTTTCCCCAACACATACCCAGTTCATGCATGTCTCACTACCCAGAACATTTCGTATGGTATGTGTCAGGGTCACTCAAACCTTCATGGGGACTGAATTTCCTCCCAGCTGTTCCCAAAGGCAAAGCAGCAACAGAGATGAAGTAAGGAGCAAGCACCCGTGTGCAGCCTCCTGCACCAGAGTATCATGGCACAGTATAACCCTGGAATGAGCCTGGAGGCTGACAGCCAAGTGACCAGCTGGACGTCATCCCCAAAATGGGAGCCAGAAGCCTATAGTCACACAGAGAGTTACAGTCCAAAGCAATGTTGAAACATTAGAAATGATGCAGCCCAAGTGAAGCAAGTGGGAAATAGGAGGTAAAATAGGAGTCACAGCTGTTAGAGAAACACACAGACATTTGCAATTGCAGTGAGATAGATTCTTGCTGTGTGCATGATCTGTCTGTTGTACATGTAAAGATCTTTTGCAGGCTTATATCTTCCCTGCTGTTCAACTAGCTTGTTCTTTTAATGTGTCTTTCCACACTGCTTGCCACCAGTGCCATGTGACATGGCTGGTCCTCATTTTTGTGACTTATTTCTAGAAACAGGACTTCATTTTTCAGAAAGTGCCCAAGGACTGTCCAGTTGCAATGTGTGAGATGCTGAAGGGAATATCCATTGTCTGCCAGGAGATTCTTCATCTTTTGAAAATATGAGTCCCTGGTGGTACAGCACACTTCAGACACAGAATGATCCCTCAGACTAGGCAGGCTCACTGGTTTCAGCATCAAGCCAGCAGAAATCCTCCACTTTGTCCTGGCATTTCCAGCAAACGTGCTCTGGCAAACAAGGTGCAAGCCTTAGAAAGCAAAAGCAGGATTCCCCTCAGTCTGATCTGTGGTACATATTAAATACACTCTTGGAGCCAGGAGCAGTTTTATTTGCCGTGGGGCTGGCAGAGAAGAGGTGGAGTCCCCAGTGCCCTGAAGCCCAGCTTTCCAGGCGAATGCAAGACCCTGGCCCTGGCAGGAACCTGGCTCTGTCAGGTGTGCTGGGACCCAGCCAGGTTGTCTGAGTCAGCCAGAGAGAAATGCCATTGTCTCTTCCTCTTTGCAGGTCTGCAGTTTGGTTTTTAGCAGGAAGAGAAACTCACCCTAAAAGGAGTGCTAACCTTGGCGTCAGGCAGCCTGCTGTTAACGCGTGCAGGGATTTCTTGGGGAAAAGAGCAAAATGGTGAGTAGGAGTCATCCGTTGAGTCAGTTGGGTCTTGTTTTGATGGAAGCAGTGTGGGGAGGTCAGAGTACAGGAGAGGCGAGGCCATGGATCTGCTTAGCTGTTGGATGAAAAGCTGCCTGGGAGTGTTTAACCCTCCTGTTCTCTGCCCTGACCAGATCAATCAAGCTGGCCTCTTCGTTAGCTGTGCATTTCCTTACGGTGCAACCAGCGGTTTCAGATGCCTGCTTGGATTTTAGTGTCTACCCCAACTTTTCTGTCCTGGAGGTATCACCTGGTTTTAGGGTGGTTGGAGCAAGGAGGAGGCTTGTGCTCTGGATCATGCAGTGGATCCTTCTTGGGGAGATTTCCTGCCCTGGGAGATGGGACCTGCTGAAACGCACATTGTCTGTTTAGAAATGGCCAGGTGAGAGTGGCTGGGAGAAAAACTTACTTCCTCCTAGCAGCTAGCTTGCTCTGAGGCTAAAGCAACATTATCCTCTGAAATGTAATAATGAATTAATTCCATGAGCATTCACTGAAAACATGGTCTGAAAACATCTTGGATTGACAGCAGA